GATGATTAACATACCATAGTCAGGAGTTGGGAAGAAGATCACCATCCAAATCCCGAGAAATTGGATATGTTGCAGCGGCAGAGGACGGCGAACTGCAAGGGAAAGGAAACACCAAAGGAGATCAGATCATGTGGTATGTCCGTGAGAAGACAAGGACGGACTAGGAACGGAGTCCGCAGGCAGGGCTATCTAGACTAGTGAGCCTCAAGTCCAGCCATTGTGCAATAATAGTCCACGTATTTGAGCTAAGCATTAGTATTATTGTTTGCTGGACCGGGTCGACCCATTTCCCGGTCGGAGATCCGTTGCCAGTTGGTTGGAGTTGTTGGGGAGGTGGTCAGGTGACGATTTGTCGCAGGAGCCAGGGGATTTGGATTGCTAATAGAAAGGTCAAGTGACAAATCAGAGACACAGCTCATTATGATCCGATGATGTCCTGTAAATGGAAGTGTCAGACGTCCGCATGATCAATCATCACCCTGAGAATGCTTGACGGAACGACGAATGACAGGTCAACCTGAGAGAGCTAGTGTGGAAGCTAGCATAACTGTTAGGTAAGGCAAAACAGGGGCGCAGGTTTAGTTTTGGAGAACGTGGCTGGATCTGGGGTACTCTAGACTACCTTACCAGTCTGTACTCAGTACCTACTCAGCAGTACAGCGCATGCTCTGGTTTACAGAGTATGACGGACGGCGGATTTGCCGCTTCACTTTGTGTATCCGTGTCAACGAACAGCCGATGATTGTTTGATTGACTTAATTGAAGAAGACAATAAATATTCAAGATGTCTGTCTCTCTGCAGGATAACATTAAATGTTTAGACGAATGTTGTATAAAGTGATTATGTAATTATGTTCCACCAAAGCGCGAATAATGAGCTAGTGGAGCGTTCGCATTATGTCATAAAATGCTTGCGGCGATCCCAAAGAAGATTAGGCCAAGAGATGGGCCATGGTAGATTTCAATAAATAACATCCCATACCTTTATGTTTGCTGATGGACAGACAGGCATTATCATCCCCTGTATACTTGTAGTTAACCTTGCTTATAAGCTATCAAATATACCGACATTCAGTGATGGTTCTCTACCTCATCCATGTTGAGGCTGTCGTGATTTATGACGCAATATTTTCATCGCAGGGAAATGCCCTATTCCCAAGTGGTACTAGCGCACACCGCCCTGGTCCGATTGATAAATTTTAATTCCAGATTTAGAGCTTTTTAGAGGCAAGAGAAAAAGAAAAGAAGGGCAAGAATGACGATCATTGCAACGTCCGAATCTTCTTCAGTACAAAGTATGGAGTACTACGGAATACTATCAATACTATCAATTATCTACCATCTACAGAAGAAAGATGTCTAGATACCCCGTACTTTGTTTGCCGCATTCATCATGGCCAATTCGCCCCATGTGGCCGCATGTTGCCCTTTCCATGGCGCCTAGCTGGGTGGTTCTCATTCTTTCTGTGTCTCTTGATCTCTGTCTGCTCATTTTCGCCGCCTCCGCTTTGCTGTCACTTTTTTCGAGAACGATTTTTATTTAGAAGCTGTACCGTACTGCCTAGGTAGGATCAATAGCAATCAACTTGGGTTTTGCCTTTTGCTTTTCTGGTCTCCTGACATGCTCTGACTCTTCTCTCCCCATTTCCAACTCTTACTACCCACTTCAGCCTTCTGTCCGCAAATAACCTTCTACGCAAGTGACAGACCGTCCTTTTCCTCCTACTGATCGCATTCCAACCTGGAATCGTGCATCCGTTCGGGAATCGCGGTGGTGTGCGCGTCCGCTGCCATCGAACGTCCATAGTTCAATAGCGAATTTCTGTGACTAACAGCTTCCTCATTCTCCTCACCTCAACAAAGTCTCCGCCGCCCCTCCTTTTTTTCTCTGCTTCGGTAAGGAATTAAGAATCTGCTTGTAAAATCTGGGGAAAAATGAGACTAATTAGCTAAGAGAAAAAAAAGGAAGGAGACGAAAAAAAAAAGTCCGTCTGTTCGGGCCTTCTTGTGTTCCCCTTTCCTTCCTACGCATCTGTATCCCGTCCAACCCTCTTTCTCCTCACCTAGCCGGCGGATTATATAGTTCAGAGGCCTCTTGCAGGCCCCTTCCAGTCCGTCATGTCTTCCGTCGCCGCCGCCTCTGCCATTTCTCTGCAGAAGCCTACCTATTCTCGGTTTACTACGGCTCCGGCTCTAGACACTAGTCATCCTCAACTGTCGCGCACTTCCTCGCCTCACTCGTCCGCTTGTTCCTCACCCAACGGGTCCAGATCCAGCAGTCGCCGTCGTCCGTCGTTTGGTTCGATCAAGGAGGACGTCGACGGTAAGCACTTGCACATGTATCGGCAAGGTCTCTAGTGCTGATTGATCCTCTCCGTACAGGCATTGCTCAATCATTCGTTGATACACACATCACTCAGTCTCCCACAGAGCAGACCAAACAGACGTCGCCGTTAGCGATTGATATGCAACACACGCCTGATTTCTGTTGTCCTTGCGGTGGTTTCCTTGGTTGGAAGCAGATTCGACTTGGAGGAAAGAGTCTCAGCCGGAGCTATGGCGATCTTCGCGCGTTGGGGGCTATGCACACTCGGGGATGGGCGTGGGAGAACAATGCGGTGGTGAATAATCCTCCCACGAAGACGGTGCAATCCAAGTCTCAGAAACCCCTTCCAGGCTCCTCGCGGCTAGAGAAACTGCCCCCGGAAGTTCTCGGTGAGTTTTCCCGTCTGCATGTCGGATATCAGCTCGTCCACTGACAATGTCACTGCAGATCAAATCATTTCCAACCTGGCTTTGGACATCCCTCCTAATGGGTACACACCACGGAATGTCGACCTGGTGTCGTGTCTCCTAACCTCCCGTACGTCGCACGCTGCCACACTTGGTGTGTTGTACAGAAACATGACCTTCCCGCATTCCATCATCTTCTCCAAGGCTCTCAACCACATGTCGCAGTATCCCGCGCTCGGGACGCTCGTGCGTCGTCTGGACTTTTCCCATTTCACCTCCGTAGGACTCGGACGCACCAAGCAGATGAATGCAGAAATCCAGAACCTCACCTCCGCGACGTTGCTGAAATGTTTGGATCTTCTGCCAAATCTTAAGGAATGTCTACTGCAGGAGCATGTGGAAGGTGATATTAGCGTGGAAATCGTGCGGAAGATATTCACCGGCCTGCCCAACCTGCATGGTGTTGACTTTTGCGGTTGCGCTACCCAGTCATTCTCGACCGTTTTCCAAGAAGCCTTGACCACAGGACCGGGTCTGCCTCTGAACCTACCGAATCTCAAGCGGGTGTCCCTACACGAGTGCAGCAGTCTGCCTCCATCTACCTTTGAGGCTCTTCTCCCTCGTCTGATCAATCTGACCCATCTCGATGTCACACACACACAGATCAGCGAGTCGGCGCTCTTCTCCATCCCGGAGACCGCACAGATTACTCATCTCAGCCTTTCGCGGTGCACTCGGTTGAAGGGTCCGAGGGTGGTCGAGTTTTTGACCACGCATCCCGCAGTGTGCAATTCGCTGGTGTACCTCAACCTCCTGACCGATCCCACCCGCTACCGGATTCTCGAGGAGGAGGATGTCTCTGCTCTTCTTCCTCGGTTGCCCAAAACCCTCCGCTCGCTGAACCTGGGAGGCGCCAAGATCACCTCTGCTCATGCGCCTGCCCTAGTGCCTTTGACCAAGCATCTCGAGGAACTCGGCTTGAGCTCGGCGGATTTGTCCTGCAAAGACCTCAATATGTTCTTCGCTCCGCCTCCAGTGTCGGACAATGCGAGCTCGACCGAGGCGCAGGAACCGTGGGTGCCATCATCGTTGTGCTACCTGGATCTCAACAAGGTCACGCAGTTGTCGATTGGCACCATCTTCAACACCAATACTTGCTTGCTCCTTTCGCAGCAGAGTTATCCTCTGCAAGTCATTGAATTCAGTGACAAGATCATTGCTCCCCTGAGGGAGAGAATCAAGAACAACCGTGCCTCCAGCGGCTGGACCGTCCGTGAGCTCGGCAGACGCGGTTGGTACGTACGTGACCCTGCCTCTATGCCAAACCAAGTCCCCGACGACGGTTCTCGTCCCTGGAAAATGGGTGCCCGTTGGTGGGGGATGAGGAAGATCCCGGTCGTGGTAGGAGACGTTGGAGGCATCTATGGCCATTACATGTTCAAGAAATAAGTCCTGGAGACAAAGAGTGTCCCTTCCTGACTGTTGCTTACGACTTTTGATTGTTTAATACCCTTGCTATGCTTCATTTCCTTCTCTTGCTGTCCTTGAACGAAAAATGGGCGGACTCATTTATGATACCAAATTGCAAGCGTGAGCGACAAAAGTGCGGGTGGATCACTGGTTACTCTGTTTGATAATCTGCATTGCGTCCCTTTGCCATGGATTGTCCAGCATCTTGTGTTCTGCATAGCGGGAGTGATTCTCATAGCGTTTATGGTTGTGCTTCTGTGGGATGGTTGCTAGTCTCTTAAGGTTGTTGATCAATCCTCGCTCCATGACATGTTCCCATTATAACCTTGAGGTCAATCCTAGCTGCGTGTTATTCCCAGGGCAATTCTGGCTGTAAAGAGTTCCTCTTGGTCTCCTTTGACGTTTGGGGCTTTCATGAAAATGGCGTCATTGCTCTGCTGTCTGTACATTTCGGTTTGCTCTTATAGCTAAATCTCATCTCAGGTCAAAGCTAGCAAGAATGTTTAAACGCTGTCCGTAGCTCAGTTTCGTAGTCTCCTTCATCTTGTTCCAACTTGGGGTCTGGATCGAGGCTGTCATGTGTCACGTGATTCTTTACAGACTTCCACGAGAGCTGCGGAGCCCATTTTTACACGACCTCGAAATCATCCCACTTCCCACCAACTGAATCTTCACAGAAGGCCGCTGACCTTCCTCTTTGCCGGCCTCGCCCTTGGAAGGACTTTTTTTTCTCCTCTCCCGATGGGCGCATCCCGATACGCCGCTCAGGACAGTGGAAGCTGTCGAGTTCCAGGACGATGGCACCTCCGAGCGGATCGGCGGCATACAAGAAGAAAGATGGCACCCTGACCATGTCTCAGGACGGCCAGTCCATCTCGTGGATTCCTGCAGCTGGCGGCGCTGCCGGAACGATTACGATTCCAGTTTCTCAGATCACTAGTATGTGAGATGGCTGCTCGGTTGGTTTCTTTCTTTTTATACCTGGTTATTGACCAAGGCAGATCTACAGCAAACCCCGGCTAGTAACCCCAAAGTGATGCTCAAGATCTTCGTTCTCCCTCCCAGAACGCCGAACGATTCCCCAGATCAATACGTCTTCTCCTTCACGGCCGGAGCCAACGCCCGTGCGGAAGCGAACGCCATCAAAGATGCACTCAGCGCCGCCATCCAGGCCGCCAAAACCGCCGTGAGCGCGACCCCAACTCCGACGCCCGGTCGGACAGGTACCCCCGCCGGCGGGGAAGGGATGTCAGCCGCCATGGCGATCTCGAGCGCGGTGTCCTCGGCCGGGCGGGCCCTAAAACCGTGGGATGACGACCAGCGGCTCAAGGCGGACGTGGAGCTGCAACAGTCGCTGCTCAAGGCCGATGCGAACCTGCAGCGCATGTTCATGGAATCGCTGCACACCAAACCAGACACTCTGTCTGCCTCGCAGTTCATGTCGCAGTTCTGGTCGACGCGGCTGCACCTGCTGCGGGCGCACGCGATCGAGCGGTCGCAGACCCGCGGCTCGTACAATGTGCTGTCGTCGCTGAAGCCGCGAGTCGAGGACAACGTGACCAAGCTCAATATCAGCAAGGAGCAGATTCAGCTCATTTTCAGCCAGCATCCGCTTGTGAAGAGGGTATATGATGAGAATGTGCCGAAGCTGAGCGAGCAGCAGTTCTGGTCGCGATTCTTTCAGAGTCGACTGTTCAAGAAACTGCGCGGCGAGCGCATCTCCGAGAACGATGCCACGGATGCCATTCTCGACAAATATCTGCGCGAGGACGAGCAGGCGAATCTCGAGCGGGAGGCACACGTGCCGCACTTTTTGGATCTGGCGGGGAATGAGGTCAATAACAGCCAAAGGCGCGGGAATCGGCCGGATCTAGACATGCGGCCGTCTAAGGTTCCCATCATTCGGACGCTCAATACGCTGAGCGAGAAGATTATGGCGAATGTGGCGCCGGTGGATCGCGACCCGTCAGCGCCCGTCGGCATCGACGAGGAGACGTACAATGAGCTGCAGTTGCGGGACTTGCGCGGGGACGATGAACAGAACCGGATTCTATTGAATATCCGGGATCAGAGTCGGTTTTTCTCGCAGGCCAAAGTGACCGAAGATGAGCAGAGCCGGCTGTTTGCCAAGCAGGATCCCGACCAGATTATCCGTGACCTACGCGGCCAGATCGACCGGGACCTGCCGACCGATGGGACAGCGCCTCTAGGGAAGCTTGTGGAACCAGAGGAACTTGAAGATGAGGACGAGCGGAAACAAGATCAGCGGGTCGGATCGCAGGCCAACTTGCAGCGCGCATCGAAGCAGATCCTTGACGCCATCCGTGACCGGCGCAACCAGACGGAGGCGTCATCCATTGGGGGGACATACGGATTGTCGACCAATCTCTATGACAGGCTAACCCTGACCCATGCGACGACCACGGAGTTCCTCCATCAATTCTGGCAGGCTTTTCTGTCTGGAAATCCCGACCGTGCGGCCGAGGTGGCATCGCTTGTGGAATCGCTGAACCGGGCCATGGAACGCATCCAGTCTGTAGCAAACGATGCCGAGGCGGAACGCCAGGTGGAAGTAAACCGACTCAAGCAGCATGCGCGCGAGGTACTAGAGGCTACGGGTAGGAAGATCCGCCTGAATCTTGCGGGAGTTACAGGTGGAGAGAAGGCCGTCAAGCAGTTGCTGGGTCCCACGATCCGAGCATTGGAGACTGCTTTGGCCAAGTACAATACGGCATACACTGAAGAAATGCAGCGATTGCAATCGCTGGAAAATAGATAATGTATATGATCTTTATCTTCGTCCACTATAGAGTGTAGACGACTACGGTAAATGTAGTTACAGTTGATCGGCATGCCGACTGACTCGGCTTTCGGCCCATAGTTGGCGCGACGTGTCCAACCGTCATCATCTCCCCTCACGACCATCATCAACACCACCACAAACACCAGCAGAGCACACTCCGTACCCTCAGACCACACGGTCTGCTCCCTTGCAATAAAGGCAACAAGTGAAAATAAAAACACACCAAACAAAATGCTAACCTCCGGCCTCACCAACGCCCCAATCACCAAACTCCTCCTCATCTACACCATCGCCTCCTCCATCGCCCTCTCCATCCTCGACATCAAACACCTCGCCGGCATCCGCGTCTCCCCGCATCTCTGGCCCTACGCCCAATTCTGGCGCCTCGCAACATGGCAACTCGCCGGCTTCGCCAATTCAACCGAGGCCCTCTTCGCCGCCATGCTCGCCTACCATCTCCGCGTGGTCGAGCGCGCATGGGGGAAGCGCAAGTTCGCTGTACGCCTTCCCTCTACTCACCTTCTCCCCTTGCGTTTCTAGTGTTACTGATGCTGACGCTGACGAGAAAGACATTCATCCTCTCCACGCTACCATATACCTCCCTCCTCCCACCGCTCCTCCTCATCCTCCTCCGCCCGCTAACCCTCTACAAAATGAACTATCTCCCCTGCGGGCCGACAGCCACGCTCTTCGCCCTGCTGGCGCAGTATCACGCGGGGATCCCACATACATTTCGGTATAGGATAAGCACGTCTACGTCTACGAGCACATCTGCATCTACGACTGCGACTACGACTACGCCCTCGGATACAGATGATAGAGGGGAAGGACGACAGCAAGGGAAATACCTCACGCTCCTGCTCTCCGACAAGTCGACTACGTATCTGGTTGCGGCGCAGCTGGCTCTGTCGCAGTTTCCCGGGATGATTCTCCCCGCGGCGGTGGGGTGGTTTGTTGGGCTTGCGTGGCGGGCGGAGGTGTTGCCGTTGCCTGCGGCTAGGTGGAGGGTTCCGGCTTGGGTGGTTGGGGAGAAGGATGTGGGGAGACGGGGCACCCAGGGGGGAGAAGCGGGGGAGCGGTATGAGGATTTGAGGAGGAGGTTGGAGGGTGAGGCTGTTGCTGCTGCGGCGGCGAGTGGGACTGCCGGGCTGGGGAGTGAGGCATCTGGGCAGAGACAGCGGAGGCGGGAGGGAGGGTTTATGGATAGATTGAGGGCGTTGTAATTCTTGGTATCAAGGTACTTTATGCTGGAGAGAACACTGGATCCTATGAAGACAATGACCTTCTCAAAGATCTGCCCGCAGAAAATCAAGTTTATTATGCTATGTCCATAACGTGCCCTACTCCTACGCCAAAAATTAACAAAACTGTGCCTGAGCATAGTCGACCCTCATACCGTGACTGGTTACCGCCCGTTCCGACTTCTCCGCATATTCTCCTTGCATTCATTGCAGTACCATTTGACTGTATCCGATCAGCAAAGTTTCAATCAACCTGGGCAATCGCGAACTTACCATTCTTCCCTGGCGGTTTGGTCAACCCAACACACGACAGATGGAACCATTCCCGCGGGCACGCATCGTTGTCGCAAGCAACCATCTCGCCGAAGCTGATCTCGTTGCAGTAACAGTACCGCGGCTCGCCATCTTCATCCTCGTCGTCCCCTTCATGCAGCGAGTCTTCCTCCTCAGACACCGCTCGCTGCTGGGCCACCGCCACACTGCCACTCTTCTTATGTGATCGTTTCGCAGGCGCGGGTTCTGTGTTGCGGGTAGGTCGAGTGCGCTGGGAGTTGAGTTCTGAGAAGGTGGCGAGCACAGGCGTGGACGTCTTCGATGACCGGCCCTTCGGAGCTGCGTTCGAAGCTTGAGGTACTGGTGTTTCCCGAGGTTCGACCGACTCCGTAGGGCGAATTTCTGTATCTTCCCGTTTCATGCTGATGGGACCGACAGCCTTAGCTGCAGCTGTGGCGGGATTCTCCTCCTCGGCTTGGCGTTGCAGCTCCGAATTAAGTGCAGCTGCAACCATGTCCGCTTTGGGAGTTTCTTTGGGCAATGTCTTGGGATCGGCGACTTTGCCTGAATCGAAAACAATATTAGTCAAAAGAAAGACAAAAGACAGGGGTAACATACTGTTGCTCGCTAGGCGATTGGACGCCGAGGAGGATGGCCGCTGGCGACCACTTGTTGACTGTCCCGAGCTCTGCTGGGCACGAGAAGACTGGGGCCGAGCGACTGCTGCAGGTCCGGGACTGGCTGCGCTACGCACGGTATTCGATGCCCCCACCAGAGGAGCAGGTGCCAGAACGGGCGAATTTGCCGCAGAGGTTCCAGTGTTATTTCTACCAATCTGGTTAGCAAAGGCACAAGGTTAGAATTGCATATCCTAAAAAATGGCTCACCTTTTGCGAGCGGCTGCGTTCGTGTTGGGAGCACGAGATCTCTTCTTGGTGGCATCTGAAGCTGTCGCGTCCTTCGATGCACCACGCCCCGGAACATTCCCAGCACCGCTGGCGGATCTTTCCATCGCTGCGCCAGTATCGGCCGCTGGAGGTCGTTCAACCTTCCGGCGTTTCGTCGCACCCGAGACCCCCGCGGCACCTGAAGTTAGTGCACCATGCCCGATTGCAGACAGGTCCCCAGTAGCCGCACTTACGCCGCTACGAGGTTTGCTAACCTGCCCCTTCCGCGAACCAGAGGCACGAGCATCGTCAAAATCTGAATCGGCATGCGTGCGCCGCTGTTTGCGAGCGGCATCCCGTCTCGCATCGCTGCGGGATCCAGCTTCGGTTTCGAGCGCATGGTTCAGGTCTTGTTTGTTAGACGCAACTTCCCGGCGTGGACGCTCATTCGTAGTAGTTTTCGCGGCGTTCCTGTTCGAATAGGCCCAGTGTGTAAGACTGCCCAGGCGCGCCTCCTCACTGATCTCCCCTGCAATGAAAGGAAATACGCCGTCGATGCGCAGGAGCTGCCGGTCTAGTTCGTCGTTGGCATTGGAAATGACATGGTTCTTTTCGTCCGCGGTCATCATCAGATCCACTAGGGTGCGCCGCACTCGATCGAAGAGAAGACGACGGTTTTTGCTGTCTTGAGACTCAGGAGGTTGCGAGGGATTCTATCGTAAAGCAAACAGGTTTTAGCCAAGCACATTAGTTGTTGTAGATATCCACCACCTACCGCTGGCACAATATCATCCCGAACCACCCCGTCAACAATAGGCGCTGGATTCAACGGACAAGGAACAGGTTGCGACTCCGAAGAAACCTTCAACAGCTGGAGAAGATTATCCTCAAGCGCCCAAGCCTTTGCATCCACTTCCTTCAGCAACGAATTGTGACGGCGAAATTCTCGCGGCAGAGCGGTAATAGCGTCCGTGAAATGAGTGAGGGCGGGATAGAATCCGTGAGGGGCAGGAGGCGTAGGGGCCGCTTCGATCATTGAGCCGTGACCGTAGGCAAATGACGACCGTCCCAGCGTCTTGGACGTTCTGGATGGATTCGTACGTGTCTGGCGCGCTGACTGACGAGCATTTTGACCCTGAGCGTTGACGGCTGACGAAGAAACGACGGATGCCATGGTTGACGAGGAAGTTCAAACGCAGCAGGCTAGAAACCGCTCAATCAGGTGAGAAAAATTGGTACAAACAAATGTTTGGGATACTCCTTGAACCCAACAACATGGACGAAAGCGTTGATGAGTTGGTATGTCAGATAATGGGGCGAGAGGAGACGGAAGTTCTGCAGTGCGGAGAAGCAAGACTTTCCCCTTTGGGCCCGCATCAGGTGATTGGTGCCTTGTATTTCAGGCATGATGTACTGCTTACTCATATTACCCAATTGGTTGCCTTGACGTCATCAGCGCTGTACATCAATTCAGTCTCAGAAGTACCTCTCTAGGACCGGGATATGTTCACGAACAAGAAAATACTGCATATCTAGTAAATCAGGCCTTCTTAGTTTACAAACACATGCTCCGGCATGTTCTAGGAATAGACAGGTCAGTCCCAACCCGTAACAGGGATGCCAGGGAACATTCAAAAAGAGATATCAAAAACAGGACAGCATGAGTGTAGGATAAAAGCCGCAGTAGATGCAGACAACAGAATGAATTCATACAAAGGAGACAGAAATGAATAGACGCTAGCTCCTACAAATCAAAGCACCTAAGATGATAATCCAACAGCGGCTACAAACGTCCCCGATCACTCGCCCTTCAGACGATGCTGGTGGACAGTGAATGCTTCCTCAAGGAAGTCCTGTTCCTCCTTGGCGTGGACGGACTTGAGACCAGTCGCGACGGAGGCGCTCGGGGCCCGACCAGCGTAGAGGACGTGGCGACGGTTGTGGTGCTCAGTCTCATTAAGCAGGGTCTCAATACGAGGTTGAGTGTAGCTCCAAGCACCCGCGTTCAGGGGTTCTTCCTGAGCCCAGACAATGTCCTTGGCGTTGGGGTAGCTGTCCAGGTTCTCCTTCAGCTGAGCCCAGGGGAAGGGGTGCAGCTGCTCAACACGGGTGATGGCAGTGTTGCGGATACCATTGGCCTCGCGGTGCTTGACCAAGGTAGCATAGACCTGACCACTGCACAGAATGACGCGCTCGATCTTCTCGGGCTCGTCAATGGCGGTACCGTGGGCCGGGTCGGGGATGATCCACCGGAAGTGCGAGTCACCAGTGAATTCCTCAATATCGGAGCGAGCAACAGGATGACGGAGGAGGGACTTGGAGAAGAAGATCACGAGGGCTAGGGCAAGTGAGTTAGTGGAAAGTCATTCATAGAGGGAGAGGATCAAAACTTACGCTTGCGGAACTGGCGGTGGATTTGGCGACGCAAGATGTGGAATAGGTTGGCAGGCGAGGTCATGTAGGCAATCTGCATATTGCAGTCCTGGTGCTGACGGTCCAACTTGTCCTGAGTGGGGAACTGGCGAGGTTCCTCGTTGCAAAGCTGCAACCAACGCTCCATTCTACCAGAAGAGTGCTCAGGACCCTGGCCATCATAACCGTGAGGGAGGGAGACAACGAGACCGGAGCGCTGCAGCCACTTGGATTCTCCAGAAGCAATAAACTGGTCGATAATGCACTGAGCGTTATTGGCGAAGTCACCGAACTGGGCCTCCCACATGACCAGGGCGTTAGGCGAGGTTAAAGAGTAGCCGTATTCGAAACCAAGGCTTCAGAGAAACATTAGCTTGAGCGAGCAAAGGTAAATCGGTCATTGGAAGTCAACTTACGCTCCGAATTCGCTGAGAGAAGAGTTGGAGATGACGAAGCTGCCCTGGTCCTCACCAATGTGCTTCAAGGGGGTGTAGGTAGCCTCGTTCTCCTGATCGTGCAGGACGGCGTGACGCTGGGAGAAAGTACCACGCTCAACGTCCTGACCGGAAACACGGACATGGTAGCCCTCCTTGACCAGAGAACCAAAGGCAAGGGCCTCCGCGGTGGCAAAGTCAATGTTCTTACCCTCATCGACGGCCTTCTTGCGGTTGGCCAAAATACGCTTTAGGTTGCGGTGCACGGTGAAGCCCTCAGGGGCGCCGCTGATCTTGTCGGCAATGTGGCTCAGCAAAGAAGCATCAACAGCGGTAGGTAGATGAGGCAGAACCTCGGTGGCCAGCTCCTTCGGGGTCTTGAAGCCGTTCCAGGCAGAGGTCAACCATTCCTTGCCGGTGGGCTGGTAATCCTTGCTGCGGTCGAAGCTGTCGTTGAGCATGCCCCAAACCCACTTCTTGTGCTCGTCAATGTCCTCCTTGGTGAAGGTACCCTCGGCAATCAGCTTCTCAACATACTTGTCAAGCTGGGCCTTCTGCTCGGCGATGCGCTTGTACATCAAGGGCTGAGTGAAAGAGGGCTGGTCGGTTTCGTTGTGACCCTGCTTACGGTAGCAGACAATGTCAATGACAACATCGCGCTTGAACTCGGCACGCCAGTCGGCAGCAATCTGGCAAACGTAGTTCACGGCCTCGACATCATCAGCGTTGACGTGGAACACGGGAGCGTCGATGGACTTGGCGATATCCGAGCAGTAAGGGGTAGAACGCGAGTAACGGGGGTCGGTAGTGAAACCGATCTGGTTGTTCACGATGATGTGGATGGTACCACCGGTCGAGTAGGCGGGAAGAGAGTGGAAGCCCATGGTCTCGTAGACGACACCTTGACCGGCGAAGGCAGCATCACCGTGTAGCAGAACACCCATGGCGCTGTTGAAGTCCTTCTCGTCATTGTTGTAGTGCTGAATAGAGCGAGTCTTGCCAAGAACAACGGGGTCCTCGGCTTCGAGATGGGAGGGGTTGGCGACCAGAGAGAGCTGCACACGCTTACCAGAGGGCGTGGGGCGTTCGAAGTTCATACCCAAGTGATACTTGACATCACCCGAGCCTTCATCCGAGGGCTCGGCAGATCCGGAGAATTCACTGAAGATGGACTCGTTGGGCTTACGAACGACGTTGGACAGCACATTGAGACGACCACGGTGAGGCATACCAATGACAATGTCCTTGATGCCGTGCTCGACGCTGCGGTCAATCAACGCCTTCATACCGGGCACTAGGGTCTCGCAACCCTCCAGACCGAAACGCTTGTCATTGGGGAACTTGGTGGCCAGGAAGGCCTCGAAGCTGTGACTCCAGATCAGACGGTCAAGGATACGGCGCTTGTCGTCAACCGAGTACTTGTAGGGCTCGGGAATTTCAAAGCGATCACGGATCCAGTCGCAGGGCTTGCGGTCAGGAATGTGAATGTACTCCACACCGTAAGAGCCACAGTAGATCCTCTCGCAGGTGGCGATGATCTCACGCAGAGTCATCTTCTTGCGGCTCTCAGTAGCGAAGCGAGGCAGGATTCCGGGGCCGAGGGTGAACTCCTGGTCGAGATCGCGCTCAGTGAATCCATAGTGGTCAAGTTCAAGCTCCTTGGGCTTGTTGTAGCCGAATGCCTCAGCTTCGCCGCGGATGCCAAGGGGATCGATCTTGGCCTTGTGATGACCACGAGCCTGGTATGCGCGAACCAAAAGCTGGACCTTAAGATGATTTGTCAGGTCAGTGCCAGCGGCGAGGCCCAATCCCTCGCCAGGCATAGTCTGCGGAACACCACCGGTGGGGGTAGGCACAAGAGTCGGAGGAGGCTGGAAAGCTTGGGCGATGGGCATGTTGCCTTCTTCCATGTTCTTGAAATATGTCTGCCATGAGATGTGCACGCTGGAGGGGTCATTCTTCCAAGCCAGGTACATCTCGTCGACGTAGTTGGCTGTGTTTCCGGAAAGGAAGTTGTCATTGGGATCCTAGAGATCGCGGATTCGCGCGTTCAAGTCAGTCATGCCTTCAGAATAGCTAAAATAATGAACTAGGGCGCGCTAGGCTTACCACTCCCACATCGGTAGCAGCAGCATAGTGTCTCCTGCCGTTGGACAAACGGTCAACAATGGCTAGAGGTCTTCTCGTGGTCAAGCCAAGTTTCGAGCTACGGCTGGAAGTAGCTCTGGCAGTGGAAGCAAGGGAGATGGACCGCCTGCAGGCCGAGCAGGCGGGGCCACGCAGCAGACCGCTGCTGGTGGCCTTGACGGCTGTGGTACGAAGCATTGCGGGATTTTTCCGTCGCCGATGAAAACAGGTCCTATGAAGCTGATGCGACGAGCAGACTGGAGGTCTTTGTAGTAATGCTCAACAACACTGGAGAGCAAGGATCAATCACGTATAGTATAGAGACCTGTTTCGTAAATTGTCAATATAACTGTGCAACGCTCCCAGGAGCTGATGCAGATTGAACGGATGAAAGGAAGACACACGGTAGTCACTAAAAAATTAGAAAACAGGTGTCGACTAAGATTGCCGTAGCACCTGCACAGAAACAGAACTCATCAGAGAGCAAGCACTCTCTTTAGACAATCAAAGCTTTTTCTTTTTTTTCCTCGCGAAAAAAAGAAGAGAGGGGAGAGAGATCCGAAGTAGAGAGGACAACTTCAAGTGACGATGGAACTGGGAGAAGAGGTTTGCCGAATGCCTACGGGTATGACGGCCAGCGCGGATGTGGCTGATCAGTTCCTGCTGTCCTCCTGACAACAGCCACAGCTTACTCAGCACACCGCCGCGCAGCCGGCCAGCTGCAGCGCGGCAAGTGCCGCCGGTCGCGAATCAGAATTGAGCAATACGCACCGCCACAGGGCGGGTATGAACATTTCCCGCTCCGGGTTTTTGCGGATGGACTTGCAGGCCAATCATCGCCATGGATTAATTTACTCATAGTAATCCTCAGGACAGGACAGAAAATCCATACTATGACTTCATCTGTATGCACGAGCTATCATCGAGAAGATTCGATCACTCTTGGGCCATTAGCTTTTGAGGCGCATCAGAACCCATCTACAGGCAGTAGATTCTGAGGGGTGCATCGAATTATGTATACAGTAGATTGTCAATTTACCCCATCGAGAGGGAGAAACTAAGTAATTATAGGTTGTCAGGACTAGGTAAGACCTGGAGAGAGGAAAACGGCATAAAGCAAGTATAGACACTCGGTCAGCATGAATCCATTTAAACCAAGAAAGATGTAAAATTGGGGGTATAAATCATGCATATGTACTCGCCACGCTTCTCCTCCGTGTCGTGATATCTTTAGCTCGGCAGGCTCGTTGGGGTGGACGGACTGCATCATCTGGGGACAGCTTCTTCAGGATTCATTTGCGAGTCCGCTCCTCCAAATACCGACTGGTCCATTCGTTGGGGAACATCTCCATTTGTTGGTCTTATGATCGGCGATTCAGCCGCGCTTGGTCCTCCAAAGAGGTAATCCGGAGGAACCGTATATACAGTCGGGCTCACATCAGAAAAGGCCGTGAAGCTCGCGCGATTCGACGATGAGTGATGGTGAGGTGGTGGGCTTCCGCTGCTGCTACGAAGACTTCCATTACTGCCACCCCAGGCACCGCGCCGCAGTTTCAACAGGGCGCTCAGGGACAGCTCGTCGTCCATGGTACCCATATCAACAAGTTGCGCCAGTCCTGGACCAGAGAGGGCGGGATTGGAGTGAGCCGTCCCGTGCGCTGTCAATGAAATGACCGAGTTCCGCGTGCTCCATTCACTTCGTTCAGTGATAGGAGTCAAACTGGGTTCTCTGAATTTGCCTCGGCTGCTGTGGTTACGCGAAATGCCTTCGATGCCACGCGGACCAAAGTATCCCCCGTTGGTAAGTTCTGAGCTGTACACCCCATGAGCCTGGGCGTAAAACCCAAACTCTTGCCCATAGAAACCTTCGTCGTCGTTTTCCAGCGCCTCAGCATTGGCAGCAGCGATGATAGGATCATCGTAAAAGGCATCATCGTCGTCGTAGTTGAAATCGTCAAATACCTCTTCAAAGCCCATTGCATCCACAGCTTGGCTCAGACGGCTGTCGTCTGAGACGAGCCCTGAATAGGAGTCCATAGTCTGGTTCGTTCTGGCAACGCTGTCCTGGCCCAGGGAGCTCTCGCTCGCGCTTGTGGTACGCTTGAATCTGTCCATGTCGGCTGTCTCATTGGCAGCCTTCTCCAGCGCGTTGTGCAAGACCTCAAGGTTATGTTCGGATAAGACCCCTCCATGAGATTCTGTTGTTGTTGTTGTTAGGTTATGAGTCATTTCAGTGTCAAGTCCACCATATCTGGCACCTGTTCGGTCTCGGAAATCACTAGCAACGCTCGGTGCGTGCTTAAGACCATCTTTCTGATCTAGCTCGGGACTCAGGCTATGGGATTCAGGTGCTTCTTTTGATCTAGACTTGTCTTCCGTCTGGTCCGTTGTGGCTGGATCAGCCGGCACAGCCTGTACAGCCGCCGTCTTGTGAGCATACAAGTGACTGGATTCGTCATCGAAAATCGATTCGTCAAATGTCTTGCCGCCTACATCAGCAGCCAGGTCGCCAAATTCCCCGTCGTCAAAGTACAAGTCGTCGTCCTCTTCAGTTAGCTGCGACGTAGAAGAACGAGTTCCCGTATGCATTGAGCATCCTACCGCTGCCGATTCTGAAAGGGATGTCGTCGGGGGAAACGAAGCGACTTTGTCTTCGGTGACAGAAAGGTCTGATAACTGAGGAGCGCCGCCTTGATCCGACTGTAGATTAAAATCGACTGCCGGACCAAAACCCGGGGCGCTGATGGGGCTCGCGACGACTGGTGAAAGGCCAGGCGCATACCATGAGGTAGTCAATGCGGCCCCGGGGCCGGAGAATCCACTGAACTCATCTTCTTCGGCGTCGGTGTTGACCCCAGGAATCCTTTCTTCCAAGCCGTCAATGTCATCCAAAAGGTCATTATCATAAGCGTCGTCGACGTCACTGTATTCCCTATCTTCGAGCTGTGCCTTGGCCCTGCGAGCCGCCTCTTTCTCCTTGTGCTTTTCTTCCAGAAGCTTCTCCTGTGCTGACGATTCAACTCCGTTCATGTCAAAGCTGAATCGGGATGCATTGCTTTTGAAATGTTTCGGCAGGCCAGAAGGCTGATGGGGTATTATTTCAATTGTATCTGAATCTTGCTGGACCGCTGGTTGTTCTTTGCTTGGCGGTTCTGCTCGGGGCTCGGACTGGTGAGGGATGGATTCCTCAGGGTGCTCCTCATGATCAGGTAGTCGCGACGGGAGTCGCCTTGCAAATACAGGGACCGATCGATCATCGCTACGAAGAGACGGGTTTGTGAGAAGAGACGACTGTAAATAGGCTTTGTTGTCAACCTGTAGCACATTCTGATCGTCCTCGAAGTGCTCCTTGAAAACTGGGGAGTATTCACTGTGTTTCCTCCTGTGCTCGCTTGATTGAACTACTGCATCCTTCCCATGCGGATGAGACACGTTCTCAGTCTGCGGAGTACTGTATGGATTATACTGACTTGCAGCATCTTGTAAGAGCACTGGGGCTGTGGAAAAATTCCGGCGCGGACGAGGGGCAGAGAAGTCGTGCACGATGTTTCCACGTATCCTAGGATCATAATCATCGGGTATCGCGGGGACCACGTTTCGAGCTCCGATGCTGATGTCCTCCGCTCGGAGGCCGGCCAACTGTGACGAGCGCCGCCGGGCCAGCAGAGACATCGGGTTGAGGAGGTGAAGCATTGCCTTCCCAGATTTATGCGAGGTATGTTCCGCAGACGAGTCCCGGTCCGTTTGACGACGGTAACTCGAGCCTTCCGGCCTGTACTCCTTGTGCATTGTATTCGATTTGTCAACGGTAGATGTCAACACGGGCGTCGGAGATCGCTTAATATTGGCGTCGAAGGATTGATTCTGAGAGTTCAGCAGTCCTTTACCGAAGGACAGCCGAAAAGGCGAGTTCGGCTTCGAGGAATCACTATCGCCATACTCGGGACGGGAAGCCGTAATGGACACTTGCGATGAGTTTGGCTGAGCAATCAGAACCAAGTTCTTTTCACGGCCTTCCGGACTGGATTGAGGCCGCGCTTGCTTGTCCGAAGTAGAGGACGGTACTGCCAGGTTGGTCGCAGCAGATGACGGCCAATCGGTCGAGACTGTAGAACCCACACCATGTCCCTTATCAGTATCGCCATCTGCAGGCGAGTATTCGCTCGAAGTAAGGGGAGTCAGCGCATCGGGGTACGGAGATGATTCCTCGATCGTCGTCGCAAGAATCGGCGTGTGTTGAATAACCGGGAGCTGAGGAGGGTTGCCGTTGCTTTTGCCTCTTGACGAGGCCTGTCCGGACGATGCGATGGGAGGTGCACTTGAGCGACGATGTTCACGACGCCAGTAGGAGAAGACTGTGGATGGTGGCATGATTATCGGCGCCCCAGCCCCTACAGTGCTTCCTTATGAGTGGTCGCTCCGTTCAGGACTCATAGAAATCATCCATTCTGCCTTCAAATTTGTCGTTCGCGTCCTGTTGAGCTTTGCAAAGCGGATAAAATCAATATATAGAGCTGTGGGGCTCGTCTCGGCCGTGCACGGGGTCACTGTTCTAACAATAGTTAAACAAGCAGAGGAGACAATGGAGGGGGAAATTAAGTATTAGATTAGGAGGGGGAACTGGTAAATATCCGGTATTTAAATGATATAGTCATCCAAAAGTCATGATAAAGGATAGGATCATGAGAAGAACAATTGCCAATAATGAAAACTGACTAAGGGGTTAGCCATGAGAGTGTTATTCCATTATTTATTGTTGCTGTTGACAGAAACGGTAGAAGTAGGAATGTCATCCGTTATCTAGGTAGTCTACCTATCATCCGAAAACGGATAATCATCATCATCAACGAGTCAGCCCAAACTTTCAGCACAAAAGTCTAATAATTGTGGTTTAGCTAGGCAGCACCTATTTTTGACTCTTAACATCCATCAACCTCACAGTCTGTATTGAAATAGTTATATTTTCTATGATCAGTCATGCTTTGGTTGTAACATCCGCAAAGTAAATGCAGGGCATACCTGCATACGGAGTGCTGCAGAGCCGCAGTTTCATCAAAGACAAAGGTTTTCACTTGAATAAAGGTCTGTGAAGAGATTGATCTACATGGATATCACCAATACAATGAGGGCTTATGCTTTCAATGCATCACAACCATGGCATACCGCTTAGAATCAGATGCAAGAGTGTAAAAGAATGAAAGAAACAACAGCATCAAAAGCAAGACTGAGGTCGCTAGGGGAGAGTTATCTGATGCTCTGCCTCCAGCGATCAATGATCTCCCGCTGGCCATTATCGGTCACTGTCTGTAGGACTTTGGAATGGTAGTTATGAGGCATAGCATAGCTCAAATGATTCATCCCCAAGAGAGCATCGCTGTAGAATGTATTCGGGTGCACCATCCCAAAAGTCTGAGGGTTCGCCGCCGCTAGTCCCTGGTTCTGCGCAAATCCTGCCGAAGCTGGATTCCCAAAATTTAACGGCAGTTGCTGTGTTGATAGACGGTTGTCGTATGAACGCTGATGGGTCGGTCCGTGACGAGCAGCAAGCTCGTTCATTGGCGGTTGCCCGACGCTGATCGGACAGGCATGAAGGATGTCCGCCATACTTCTCCGGTATCTTGGAGCTTGAGTCGACTTCTTCTGAGCGGCGGCCTCCCTTCGAAGCCGCTCTCGTCGTTGGGCCAGCGTCTCGTCTTCCGGCGCGGCTTCAGTTTCCTCGTTCTTCGGTTCGTCCTCGTGTAGATGGCTTATTTCGGCAAGAATTTCACTCGCAAACTCGCTCTCTGCGACAGTGCTGGTGCGGTCCTTGGCTTTTAACCGCTTAAGGCGCTGCGCTAGGGTCTCCTCCTCGTCTCCGCTGTCGGGCTGCACGGGCTCCGTCATATTTTGAGCGTACATGGTGGCTGGGCGCTTATCAAGACCGGCTGACGGTAAGGGCTCTCCTCGGAGCCTCGCGCGACGTCTGCTCAGCGGCTCACTCTCCTCCAATTCCCTTTTCTCCATGAGACCTAACGGTCTGGCCTCGTCGGGGACCTTGGCTTTCTCAGGGAATAGCACGGCCAGGGGAACGTCTTCATCCTCATCCTCCTCGTGCTTGTGAACGTCGGGATCTTCCCAAGCTAATGTAACCGGTCTCTGTCGCCTGTGCTCACTTTGTTTCTGGGCGACAGCCTCAAGCTGAAGAAGGGTGGAGTGCATTCCATTGGAGACAGCGGCTGTCCGCCGCCGCTGTTTAAGTTCCTGCTTTCGCATTTCCAGCTCTGCTAGCAGAGTATTCGGGGGTCCTGTGTATTCGAAATCTGGTTCCTCCTCCTCCGATTCTTCATCGCCTGTTTCGGAACCATCGCTCTCTGAATTCTCATCGTAAGCATCATCATCCACATGTGGAGCGGCATCTTCATGTCTAACTGAAGCGTCTGCTTCAGCTTGCTTATGTAATGGATGTGATGCGATGGAGGCCGCTCTGAGGTCAGGATTGGAAACGTGATACTCAGAGATGAGATTGGTTCTAGATGCACGTTTCTTCTTTTGTTCGGAGAGATTCGGATGGGACGACTTGGGCTTGGCGCTCCGATATACATCTGACCCTAGGTTTCCAGCGAAGGGATGTTCTGTGAAGGCAGTGACAGGGGCATGCGCGGACGCATCCAGTATACTCTCAAGCGTTTCAACGGCCGATGCCTGCTTCACCTCGATTTCCAGTGGTGCGGCCGGCGTGTCGAAGAAGACGCTCGCTCGAAGTTGCGGAGGCAAATCCTTGTGATTTTTCTGGCCGTTCGCCTCCTCTTGAGTTTGTCCAGACAGCCATGGAGCGGATTTTCTGTTCTCCGGAGCAACTGTGCTGAGGAGCTGGGTGCGACGTTTCTCCCGTTCCCGTTCCGCATCACGGCTTTGCGATAGCCGGGGCGGTAAATTCAACATCATCGGAACAGGCGCAGGGTAGTATACCATATTATTTCCAGCCTGTGGTTCCTTGTACGACTCGGAGCTACTTGCGAGAGGCGGTCTGGTCAGCGACACATGGCGCATGGGGTCCGAACCGCTGTCAACAAAATGAACGCCGTCAAAATCAGTGAACAGAACTCTCGCTTGTTGAAAGGTGTTGCCAGAAGCTACAGACGAAGGCCTCCCAATCTCGTAGCCTGCACCATGACCGTGTCGATCAGGAAAATCGGCGGCGGACTGGGGCGAGAAGGTCTCTTGAGGCGGAGGAATGTGCTCAAGGGCAGTCCCAAGCGCAGGCTGGGTGAAAATACGCTCATTTCCACTTTCCGACACTTGCGCCAAACGAGACGCCGAATGAGTGGAGCCCTGAGGGCTGGAAACGTTGTTCCTCAAGGGGGAACCTTCCGTGTTGTATTGGAGAACAGAGTTGGAGACGGAGCTGCACGAGCGCCTCTTCTGCTCGAGATTCATCTTTCGAATCTCGCTCGCAATATCCGCCGAGCTCGAGCTCAAGCGTTCCGCAGTTCTCTCCAACCTCTCCACATTAGTGACATACGCTCCTTGTAAGGATTGAAGATCTGGCGTCGGATGACTGAGAGGTACAGGCGTATCGGTGATCGGAGTCCGCAGGGGTGGTTCATCGGAGTCTGTCTGCACTTGTGGCTTGGAAGTAGTATCGAGCGGAGGAATCACGCGACGAAGATAGTCGGACCGTCGATCTGCACTAAGGTTCGTTTCCTCGTAGTCGTCTTCCTCGACCATGTCGTAGCTGGTCGATGTCATGGACCGTAACATGGAGCTCAAGCTGCCAATCCCAGTGTCCTCTGCGGTCTTTGCTGGTTGTAGATAACTCCCTCCTCCGATATGGTCTGTACCTAGGGGCAGCTGCTGAAAGGTGGGGCGCTGTTGCGACTGCGGCGATGGACTGCGGGAGGCGTCAGAATCGGTCGCGTTGGAGGCCACTTCGACGTCGGCCTGGGAAACGGCGTTGTAAGCCATTCTGTTTGGTGGTGGACAAGTAGTGGTCGTCCCCAAGGGCCATCAAGAGCACAAGGCGGCCGGTAAGGTCTAGTGGACGTGAGGGGGATTTATCGATAATTGCTTGAGAGTTTTTGGAAAGAGATAAGGCAACCCTCATGCAGCAGTGCACAGGAGCGTATCAGATGCAATACTTTCTCAAAGGAGGCGAGTGATAATATGAGAGGAGGAATAGAAAGATAGGGGCAAGCTAAGAGTGTAGGAAGGAGGGTGAGAAACAAAAGAAAAGAAAGAATAATAGGGAGCTTCTAAAGGAGAGAGAGAAAAAGATGATGTGGACTAGATTGAGCGTTGGAGAAGGAATAATGAATTGACTGATTGAACGTCCCATCTTCGATAAATTAAATTAGATTTCGCAGCGACGCATGTATGTATGAGATTGTAAGACCTTGTCTCCGGCTATCAGGATACAGGTGCTATATTTGGATGAAAAGGAACTAGGTACATACCTAGGTGCTTGTTGCACCTATTTAGTCCCCATACCGCTTGCATGAATATTACACTGCCGTTACACTTACAACCCAAGTACGTAGGTACCTAGGTACCTGGGGTACCTAGGCAGGTAAGGTAGGGTTTAACTGGTACTACGTAAGGTTAGGCCCATCTCTGGATTGCGATGTGACTTGATTCGAATATATGCATACAATGGAGCAGAGAAAAAAGTCTTGCAGGTTATGATGTAGTCAGAGCCACCTTTTTACTCTAAGTCTTCCCAAAAACAAGGAACTGGAGAAGGGCGATGGTTTTCCAGACATCTTAGAACTTAGAGAGGGGTCTAGCAGCTCCTAGTCTCAAGATATTAGATGCCTCCTAGCCAGTGAGAATCAGCGGACGAGAACTAAATACCTAGGCTAGACCCGATTACTCGTAGCTAGCGCTCATTTAAAACCCAGCGCCAAGCCATGCGATGATGGTAGATATGACTTGGAGACACTAACAAACAACAAGGTAGCTGTCCTACCTAAACACAGAGAATTGAGTTCAGACTACATGGCTACGCATTAATTTCGGGGACAAGACGGTTGGTAACAGATTTTAACTCTCGGCAGATCACACTCTATCCGAAAACAGAAGGAATAGTGGTACCGTAGACGTATTCCAACGTGCCCTCACCAATTTTCCGCTTCCACGCCGTCATGTTAGGGTTCAGGAACCAGGTACGATTCGAGCGATAAGCTCAGAGAACAATCAAAATGCGGCATGTCGTTGTATTGATACCATGATAGGCTTAAGTTGTGATTCAGCATTGTTGGCGGTCTTATCTGCCGAGCTATCTCGACAATGGTTATATAGCTACCTACAGAAGGCATGATCAGGATGGTAGAGTAGCTGCTCCGTACCTATCTGGGTATCATCAGCCTAAGACCCACGGCATCGAGATGATTCGA